GCTGCTAGTTGTCTTCTTTGTATGTGACTCCAAGCCTGTCACATCAGTGTCCCCAGTCAAGCCACATGTCACCATCTCTTGGGGATGGTTTACCGGAGAGAAAAGATGGGCATCAGGGTTGATGCTAACAGTAGAAGTTTCTAGAAGAAACTTCTCAGGAAGGCATGGTGGAAACCATTCAATCTCTCTGTCCCTGTCTGTCTCTCTGTCTGTCTCTGTCTGTCTCTGTCTCTGTCTCTGTCTCTGTCTCTGTCTCTCTCTCTCTCTCTCTCCTCTCAGAACTGAGGCCTGCTTCCAGTATTTCAGTATGATTTTGAGAGGCTTGCCTTTGGCTTCTGTTTCTTTGGTTCTCTCCCCTCACTTGCATTTAGGGGGTGTAGTGTCAGAAGTCACTCACGTGAAGGTGTTTGAACAGATGCTAAAGGAAGTAAGCCAGCCCCAAGTTGGCAAAGCTCCCTGTTCGAAGCACCCATATCTTGCCTACCAGCCAAGGAAGTGAGCGGGAGCCTCTGCCTTGAGCAGACACCCGAGAGCGCAGTTGACGCTACCCTCTGCACACACCAGCGGAGCCCTGCAAGGGCAACTGCCCTGGCTGGGTTCACACAGCGAGTTAGAGGCAGCACCGGCTTCCGGGCTTGGCTCCTGGCTCCTGGTTCACTGCTTGTCCCTCACCCCACAGTCAGACTGGTCTTTAAGCAGAGCTTGCACTCAGCTACAGCAAGAAACAGTACAAAGACTTGAGTAAAGTTGCTTGCGGTGCTCCCTGAGCTCCCAGGGGTGGGCTGCTGCACTGCACCCCGAGTCTCAGCTGTGCTCTGAGATGGCCTCTGTATGGAAAACCCAGAGATTCAGTGATGAGGGCTCCCTGATGTTCTGCTCTGAGCTTGGCGGGAGACAGAAGCAGAGTAAGGAACTGAGGACTGTAAGTGATCCCAGAGTGATGAATTTGGTGGTGGTGGCCAGAGTGGCCTTTTTCTACTAAACTTTACTATTAAAGCATAATATACATGGGAGAAATAACACTTCTTTTTAAAATTATAAGCACATTTATTTGTTTTGCTGGTGATTAACAAGTTAGATTGTGTATATTTATGGGGTACAATGTGATACATGTGTATGTTGTGGAATGAATCAAGCTAATCGATGCATCCATACCTCAACTACTTAGCCATTCCCCCCAACCTTGGATGCCTGTATTCAATATCACCCCGTTATCCCATGCTTTAGCCTGTGGCCACCACCATCATTCTGCTCTCTGCTCCTGTGAGTTCCAGTTTTAAAGATTCCAGATACAACAGAGCTCGTGTGGTATTTGTCACTCTATGCCTGG